CTTCTCGGATTCAGACCTTTGGTGAATGCTTCAACAACCCATTCATCCGGTACGGCCGGTAGCAGTATCCTTTCCTTCTGCAATCTGGTCACGAACTCCCGCAGCATTTCAAACTCTCCTTGTGCAATCCTGAATATGCCGGCCATTCAGGATTGTACCTTCCTAGCCCCGGCATGGGCCTTGATGAAAGAGTCCGCGAGAATCTCAAAGGAGTCTATGGAGTGCTCATACAAAAGTGAATACCATGTCAGGGCTCCCTTCGTAAAGGTCTCCCCGAATTTCTTCAGTAAGACTGACTCAATCTCGTAGGGAGCTAGATCGTTCCCCTTCACCACTGTTGTATAGGTGGTGATGTGCTCCTGATGATCTGAAGTCCCATCATACTTCAGCACGTCTGGCATTTTAAACCGCAATTCTGGTGTCGTGCTTGGTTTAAACGGCAACTGAGTATACTTCTTTGAGTCCGGTCGTTTCATCACTGTTGGTGCGCCTGGAATTTGATCCATTCGAGCATTTATTTCCCTCATAAACCACATGAGTTCGATTTTAAAGGGATCACTCTCATTGTTGTGATCGGATCCGCCACCGTTCTCCCGGTCCCATCGAAGCCGGCCTCGCCCCTCGGGATATTATTATCGACCCTCTGCGTTATTTGATTAGTGAGAGCACTGGGAGGAACTGGACATTGTCCATTCGCGTTGTTGGAAGCACTTGACAATGCCTGCTTCAACTCCGTCATATCCGGATCCTGTCGTGTGAGATGGCGTATAATAGCCTTTTGTTGCTCTCTCAAGATCCTTACTGTTTCAACGACGTGCTCGTCTTCAGCATCATTAGGAGTCGGCACTCGAACATGTCGCGGATATTTCCCGCCATGGACCGGTGTGGCCTCATCCCCCTCGGTGCGGGTATCACTGATTGAATCTTCGTGCTGAGGCTGATTTCCTTGGGCCTCAACATTATGTGCGATGTTGACACTGTTATCTATCGTTTTTTATATTTTTTGCTAAGAACAAATGATTCAAACGAGTTAGTAATAGATGCAAGGATCAACTCAATTACACAATTGTCTAAGCCCTACGGTGGGCGCCAAACTATTTACCCGTAAAACGGTACAGCCGAATTTATACGTGATTTATAGACAAGTGAAGCGATTTGATCCCAAAATGATAAGTAAATTAGATAAAAATATAAGACTTAGCCTTGAAGTTGAAATAAAACGGTAGAAATCTTGATTCCGGGAGCAGAGCTTCTGGGACAGTAGTAACAATATGAATAAGCAAGAATTAAAATTATATTGAGCTTTGAACAGAGTATAGTATAAGTTTGTGAGAAAATTCGTGCCTTTATAATGATTATAGAGCTCACTATTTATAATTGCACTTAGGGAACAAGGTCCTAGGATCTAGCCCCTTTTTAGTGACAATTATGAGGGTCATTGAAGAATATATAACGGTAGACAGTGAATGTCATATTTTCTGTAACGACCATATACTTAATGCTGTAGAATATTCCCCACTAAATGCTACCGGGTGACAGACATTTATTTCGCCTTTATGAATATCATTTTCTCCGATAACAAACGAGATCGTTGTCTCTGGGCCCAACTGTCTTCTGTCTTCGGCTTCACGTGTCGTTTTCTTATGCGATCATTAAATATGAACATATTTTACCCTATACAGTACTGTTTCGGACTTGATTTCATTTCTACATTAAGTGTATATATTGTTAGATCCCAAAAAAAAAAAGAAATTTACAACAGAAGGTAAATCGAAATCAAAGTAAACCCTTTTCAGAAATCTGAACAATAAAAAATTATGTATCATCAAATTTAAATCATAATGAATACCATCTGGACTTCACTGAAGAAAAATAGAGCTTGCTCTGATGGTTTTAGAAAAAAGCAAAAGAGAACATTCTTACTTCCAATTATTGAGTACTCAACCATATCCATAAAAATTTATTAATAATTCATTAGCTTATTCAAATTTACAAGTGGATACAAATCTAAAGACGCGTGGGACACGAGGCGACCTATGAGATCAGTTTAAAATACAAGGTTTTTACTACTTAAACGACGTGTTTTATATTCATTAGCTATTTAGCTTATTCAAAAAATTTAAGTGGATACAAATCTAAAGATGTGTGGAACACGTGGCAAGCTATGAGATCAGTTTAAAATATACGAAAAAACAATAATTTCTTTTTAAATTTGAAAATAATTTAACTTAAATTCAATTCTAAAAAACTTTTATAACCACAAAAATATTATAAACCTCATTTTGAACATAGGAGCACTTCAAGTATTAATAATTAAGTTTTAAATTTAATATTTGTACATTGAGCAAAAACTACTCCGCCCGTGCATACACTTGCACTGCTTATCAAAAGACCTCCGGGCCCGGCCTCCGGTAAAGGATTTCCGGTGAGGATCTCCACGACTGATTGACAAATCCATTTTGAGAGGATTTTGTGGGGTATGGTTCTATTTCTCCCTTCTGTCTATTCTTCATTTCCTAAATTAAGATGTTGGAATTTGCTGCTGATTTTTTGGTTTGGATTTTGTAGATCCGTGAGGAGAATTTGTTCGGTATGAGGGGAATAAGAGCAGTGGCTGCCAATCAAATTGTGAAATTGAAATGTGAGTCTCCAAGAGCTATTGAAGACCTCGACAAGTTACACGAGAAAGCTAGGCTTGCCAATGAGTGCCATTATCAGTAAGTTTCTTCTGTAGCTAATTTGACTATGTAGGATTTCCTTTATTTATTTGAAAAATTTGGGCGAATATAATTCAAAAGGGTTACGACAAAATGAATCTGCTACATAATTACTTACCTTGATTAGTGCAATGGTACTAGTGGTACTAGTGGTATAGTACTACTCATATAGACTTAGCGCGTAGACACAGGTTCAGTATGTATAGTATGTCAGTGGCGGCCCTCGTTTATGTTTTCCTTTTGGATTGTCCGGTGTTGATACTCATAATGGCCTCCTCGGCCCGAACATATATTGATGTTTTGAGTATGATGGCTAGCTGATACAACGCTTGCCCGCCTACGATATATTACGAGTTGCGGTCAAGTTGGCCATGATAGCTTATACTTATTGTACGATAGAGTTCGGCCGTGTCGGCCTATGTACATTCTGGGTTACGTCCAACATTTAAGAGTTGCAGAGTGGTTCGCTCGGGCAAGTACGGCACTAGGTGGTGGCCACGCTCACCAAAATGATGTTTTTGTATTTGTGCTTTTCAATCGTTCTTTATCTTTCAATAGACGATTGAATCAATATTACTTTAATAATTGGCCTAATTTATCACCATATTCGTTCTAGGTTGGTTTTTTCTTTTAATTTATCTTGCTAACTAAAACGGAATAGTTGAATATTATAACAACCACGTTTGTCCTGTTGAAAAATACACACATTTGTCAAAGAATGTAAGTGCTGAATAGATTGATGTGCTGTCATATGTGGTAACAATTGGCTGATTTGTTAGTAATATCTTTTTCTGGAAGCGGAACTACCACTAGAAGTCTAGATAGATTTTGGATAAGAATACAACCCCTTAACCAAGCTTGAACTTCGCTTATTTTCTTTGATATATATAGAGAAGTTAAAATATATCAAATATTTCTAGTGACAAGAATGGATCCAAGTGTATGCCAAGATGTTAAAATTACATTGGCAATATAATGAGATTCTATACCTTGGTTGAAGAGCGTGCCGGAAGCCTACATCAGAGTGATCAAGGACATGTACCATGGAGCTAAGACTAGGGTTAGGACGGTGGGTGGCGACTCAGACCATTTCCCGGTGGTAATGGGGCTTCATCAAGGATCTGCACTTAGCCCTCTCTTATTTGCTTTGGTGATGGATGCTATAACACGCCATATTCAAGGGGATGTGCCATGGTGTATGCTATTTGCTGATGACATAGTCCTGATAGACGAGACGAGGGTCGGTGTTAACGAGAGGTTGGAGGTCTGGAGACAGACTCTCGAGTCCAAGGGTTTCAAACTAAGCAGGGCTAAGACAGAGTACCTGGAGTGCAAGTTTAGCGCCGAGCCGAGCGAAGTAGGCAGGGACGTCAAGCTTGGATCTCAGGTCATCGCCAAGAGGGACAGTTTTAGATATCTTGGGTCGGTGATTCAGGGGGACGGAGAGATCGATGGGGATGTCACTCACCGTATAGGGGCGGGGTGGTCGAAATGGAGGCTTGCATCAGGAGTCTTGTGTGACAAGAAAGTGCCACAGAAACTCAAGGGGAAATTTTATAGAGCTGTGGTTAGACCTGCCATGTTGTATGGGGCTGAGTGCTGGCCGGTGAAGAACTCCCATGTCCAGAGAATGGAGGTTGCGGAGATGAGGATGCTTAGGTGGATGTGCGGGCTCACCAGGTTAGATAGGATTAGGAATGAAGTTATTCGGGAGAAGGTGGGGGTGGCCCCAGTAGATGAGAAGATGCGGGAAGCGAGGCTCAGGTGGTACGGGCATGTGCGGAGGAGAAGCCCCGATGCCCCGGTGAGGAGTTGTGAGCGGCTGGCGGTGGTTGGCGCGAGTCGAGGCAGAGGGAGGCCCAAGAGGTATTGGGGAGAGGTGATTAGGCAGGACATGGCTCGAATGCGGATTTCCGAGGACATGGCCCTTGATAGGAAAGTCTGGAGGTCTAGCATCAAGGTTGCAGGATAGGGGCTTCTAGAATTTTTCGTACTTCTGTCTCGGGGCTCGGGGGGAGGGGGTGTGTGTGTGTTTGGTAGGGCTCTCCATAGATGATCTGTGTATTATATTGTGCCCCCTTATGGTAGTTACTGGTCGATATATATGCATGCCATTTTATTTATGGTTTATGTTTAGATAATTATTTATGTGATCTCTGCTGGAGTTACTAATGCTCTTTTGCTTTTTGTTTTTTGTTTTTGTTTTCCTTTTCCTTTTCCTGAGCCGAGGGTCAATTGGAAACAGCCTCTCTGCCCTTTCGGGTAGGGGTAAGGCCTGTGTACGTATTACCCTCCCCAGACCCCACCTTGTGGGACTATACTGGGTAGTTGTTGTTGTTGTTGTTCTATACCTTGGTTGAATTTATTTCTTAGTGATCTTTTTGAGCTCATTCCGTTGCATGAATTTCAAGGCATCAAAACCTTTACCCACTATAACGAAAGAACCTATCCATCAAGATAATTCTACTGTTTTAGCGGGTGAAGTTTGTGACTTTACTGTTACAGTAGATAAAGTTTTGTTTTTAATGTTATGTGGATAAAGTTGTGACTTTATTATAATAGTGGGCAAAGTTCAATTACTTTAGGTGAAAAAAAATAGTTTAGTGACTTTACTACTATATAGTGGGTAAAGTTCAGTTTCTTTAGTGTTGCAAAAATCAATTTTGTGACTTTACATTATATGGAAACGATTATTGGCCATATGTGGAATTAACCAATTTTATTCTATAGGAATCTTAAGTTTTAACTTATTCCGTTCAAGTGCATTGATTTCAAGGCATCAATAGGATTACAAAATATAAGTGCATGTAATATAAGATAATATTCACATCACTAGTGATGAGACAGCTCTAAAGACTTCTTTTAACCAATACCTTGATATAGGCCTAAGTATCCATTCTGTCTCCTTTATAAGATCAATGAAGAAATACCTCCATATATTAAGTGCTCTGTACATGTTTGCTGGGAGAGCTTGGAAGCAAACGGATACATATTAATGTCAAGCTTAGAGCTTTTCCTATTGAATGATTTCATACTAATTTGTATGAAGATCTCAAGAGTGCAGATGGAAACCATGTATCATATTTGACGTACACATATCCAGATTGTGTGAGATCAGTATCGTAATGGAATAAATCTTTATGCGAGGAACCTGACAATTGGGTTTGGAATTCACTGCACTATGTTTTTATCTAGGATTGAAAGAAGTAGTTTCTGATATGCTGGGGTGGAAGAAACCTTGAGCCTGCATTTCAGCAGGCAGTGAAAATCACTGGACGACAACAATTTACATTGTAGCCAGTGAAGGTGATGTAAGTATGATAAATGAGCTATCAAAGCATAGATTGCTGGGAAATGCTTAACAGCAGTGGCCAAAATGCTCTTCATGTTTCCATATTGAACAATCAAGAAAAGGTAGTCGAATCCTTATTAAAGTCTAAAAGTGGGATAGCCTTGTAGATGAGCCAGATAATGATGGCAACACTCCTCTCCATTTGCTTGCTGCCTTTAATTGGCGCTGTGTGCCTGTAAAATTAAGAGTTCATCCCAGATCAAATTAAGAGGATGTCATTTAACAAAGAAAACCAGACTCCACTGGACATAGCATTGTCTGGCACAAAGACGACGGCAAACAAGAGAAGAATCAAATACAGCTTGGGATGCAATTTTATTGACATTGATGGGTGGGGAGGACGTCACTTCCCGAAGAGGACACCGTATCCAGAGGATGGAATGGGTCAACAGAGTGAGAATTTAGAAGCTAAGGAATGTGAAATTAAGTATCAATGCCGTAATGCAGTCATCTCAAATATACCTAGTTGTGGCCACTCTACTAGTTAGTCACCTTTGCAGCTGGCTTTACATGCCAGGAGGTTTTGATAGCGATCCCGTCCCTAATAAAGGGATGGCGATCCCGTCCCTAATAAAGGGATGGCGATCCTAATAAGGAAAGCAGAATTCCATGCATTTGTTGTTACGGATGTCATTGCCTTTGCATGCTCTGCTAGTGCTGTATTCAGCTACTTTGTCATGGCAACAAAATTTCAACCAGCGTCCCAGCAGGATTTGGCAGTTCTATTGTACCTTAATAGTGTCGCTGCTCGTTTGCAGCTTCTGGCAATGGTAGCAGTTGTAATTGCATCTGTAACTGGTGTTTGTGCTAATTTAGCACATTCAGTTGGTCTCACCATTATTGTCTGTCAGTTGCATCTCTTTCCTTTGGTGCTACAGGTTGTGCATCTCATTAGGAAACCGCAAAGGAACATATAAGAACATGAGTAGGGAGACATGAATGCATCTCTTTCCTTATGTACATTGCTTTAGTTTCGCTCATGTTGACATCATGATTCAGTGGTGGATGTCCCCCTGCCGTGCACTTTACACTGCTCATGTGAAGTCCCTCTGGCAAGATTTCAGTGAGGAATTTCCAGCGAGAAATTCCATGGCTGACTGACAAACCCTAGACAGCCAAAGAAAAAAACAATTCTCTTGAAGAAACAAGAAGAGAAGATCCTGAAAACAATAGAGAAGATGAAACGGTGTTGTTAAAATGCAATAATGGTGGGAGTCCTTTTCGGAGCATTTTGTTGGGTATCCTTCTATTCCCCTCTTCTTTGTCTATTCTTGAATTTCCAAATAAAATTGTTAGTATTTGCTGCTGATTTTTTTATTTTGATTTTGTAGATTTGTGAGGAGCATATGTTGGGTATGGTGAAATGGGGGTCTCGAAGAGCAATGAAGGCATCCACGAGTTACTCGAAAAAGCAAAAGGCTCGCCAATGAGCGCCATCATATATTTTGGTAAGCTTTATCTGTAGCTAATTTGGGTTACGTAAGCTCTTCAGTTTCATAAACACTTGTCATCCACGTTGAGATTCTTTCAATATTAACTAGTATAAGGTTTCATGAAAGGAAATTAAGAGCAAAACCCAAACAACAAAGCAAATCCCAGAATCTATTTAATTTAATTCCTATATAATGTTTCATCCAGAGAAAGCAAAGTACTAACAAGATCATAATTTGAGTGATTTTGGACAAATCCCCAAATAAAGAAAAAGGATCCAACCTTGTACAATTTTGCATTGGAAAGCATTTCCGGAGATGGCGGTTTTCTACGTGCAGATCACCTGAAAAGGGATGAATTAGAAAATGGATACCAAGTCACTCAAAAGGGAAACATGTCCCTCTACATCGCAGCCCTCTACGGCCAATTGGGTTTCGTGAGAGAAGTCCTTAAGATTACTCCAGCATTGTTATGCGGTCCGAACAAGAAAAAAGAAACTGCACTTCACTTAGCAGCTAATAAAGGGCAAAGCGAAGTAGCCCATATGCGACTTAGCATAGCTGGAGAGGGGAATATGAAGACACGATCATGAGGATGATGACTGATGACAATGGAGATACTACCCTGCACAAGGCCGTGAGGAGTGGACATGTTGATGTTTTCATTGTATCTGGCGGACGAGTCTGATTTTATTATTCTGCATATAGTCTGGGAAATCTGCAACAAACCAAAAACCAACTTACGAAGGTCCATGTCATCGAACGCCTTTTTATGCAGGTACGTAATTGTTGTTACTCACTGTATTAACATCTAATATCAGTAGTTAATTTAATTTGATGTGCCCATAATATAATATCGTCTACTTAAATTAATTGACTTTTATGTCCATTTAAATACATGGCCTGACCCACTTCTTTAATTTGAGCATTGCCTTGATCACTGGTCCTGATACATGTGAGCTTCACTTATTTCTTTTTGATGCAGTCTCAAACACAATGGAATCTTATCAATGTGCTTTGCCTTTTTTGTTTTTGAACTTGTAAACAGTGAAAAGCAAGAGACCATCACCATCAGTTGTTTCTTAAACACCAAAGTGAATGTCACGTCTCTCAAAGAAAAGGCAAAGCCAGTTGTACCTTTTTGATTAACTGGACAAGAAGAGAAATAATTTAAGCAATTTAGCTTTAAATTCTCTTACTTCCAGTAATATATTTTAATTTAACAAATCAGTAATTAGTCAATATGTATTAATTAAATTAAGATGTGTGTGATTTTATGATTTTAAAACAAATCAAACCAATTGGGTAGCATGAATGAGGGAGGTTTGTGCTGAATACTTAATATTCAACAATTAAGCGCACAAAAGTGTAGTTCTGGAATAGAGTACAAATTTTATCATCTGAACCAGCATTGTTACAGAAAAACAACAGGTTAGTGTTACAAGGATACACTTGGAGGGAGGTTTTTGAAATTATCCCTACATTTTTTTATTTGTTTTTGGAAAAATAGAAATTAATGTAAAACTTGATTTTTCAGATTTATCTGGACTTCATAAAAATATTTTTCTTGTTCTATTATTTTCTTATTTAATTACTCAGTCTTGTTTGTGTTGAAAAAAGAGAATCATGGGACGAAGTAAATCTTAAGATATAAGTAATATTTTGGTTTTATGAGATTTAGTAGTAAAAAACCGTTTTTATTCATGTTGATATTCTTTAAACTTTGACTAATAATTAAAAGGCAAAAGAAGAAACAGCAAAGATAAACAACAAATTCCTTTCTTCTGATCAAGGCAAACAACAAATCCCTTTCTTTTGATCAAAGGCAAAGATCAGTGGTGTTCAGAATATTTCTATATAATGTTTCATCCAGAGAAAGCAAAGGACTGACAACATAATTCAGGAGATTTTGGACAAATTCGCTAATAATTAAAGAAAAAAAATGGATCCAACCTTGTATAGTGCTGCGGTAGAAGGCAATACCAGAGATGGCAAATTTTTACTTGCTGATCATCTGAAAAGGGATGAATTAGAAAATGGGTATCAAGTCACTCCAAAGGGCAACACAGTCCTCCACGTGGCATCCCTCTATGGCCATTCCCATTTCGTGGGAGAAGTCCTTAAGATTACTCCGGCATTGTTATGTCATCAGAACAAGAAAAATGAGACTGCACTTCACATAGCAGCTAATGAAGGGCATAGTGAAGTAGTTCGTACGCTACTTAGTATAGCTGGAGAGGAGAATAAGGAGATACTCATGAGGATGACAGATGACAATGGAGATACAGCCCTGCACAAGGCCGTGCGTAGCCGACATCAAGATGTAGCCAGACTTTTGGTTAAAGAAGATCCTGAATTCGAATATCCGTCCAACAAGGCCGGCGAGACACCACTGTATCTGGCGGCAGAGTCTGGTCTTCGTGATGCTTTGGTTGATATCTTGGTATCCTGCAATAAACCAACTTTAGCTGCAGGTCCATTAAATCGAACACCTCTGCATGCAGCAGTAATTCATGAACACACGGGTATGTAGGTATTTTTCTATGTTGCGCAGACTCTCCAAAATGCGGCAATGCTGCCGCACCCGTGTCGGATCCTCCAAAAATACACTACTTTTGAAGGATCCGACACGCACCCGGCAACATCTTTGGAGAGTCCGAGCACCATAGGTATTTTTTGTTACTCTCCCTGTCATTAACATCTAGCTTTAGTTTGATTTTTCCATACCATTGTCTACATTAAATTGGAGTATAAAATCATTTCAGATATTCTCAGTAGTATAAAATTAATATTCACATCACTCATAAAGACTTATCAACTCTAAAGACTTATTTCTAGTTAACCAATAACTTTTGATATAGTCCTGGGTAGCCATATCAAAATCCATAAAGAGATACCTCCATATATCCGGCCAAGTCCTCTATACGTGTTTGATTGTTTGTGGAGGAAATCAAAAATCGGCTTGGTAACATTAATAATTTTCTCCTAATTAATTAGTTTCCCTTTAAATGATTAACTCAAAAGTCGAATTTTTACTTTGATGGCTCTTCATACCACTCTTGGACCCTCGAACTAGTGGAAGACTTAGAAATCAATAAGTATTCAATCAATAACCACCAAATCCAAGCTCTAGGATTGTGTGAGAAGTATGAAAGAGGAAGCAAAAGAATAAATAATTTGAAGCTAAGCGCTTTGAATGATCTCATAATTTGTGATGAATTAACCCCTTATCATCATCATCATCATCATATTTGATACATCCAGATTGCGCGAGATTACTATGGCAATGGAATAAATCTTTATGTGAGGAAGCTGACGTGAGTGGTTGGAATTCGCTGCACTATGCTGTTTATCTAGGATTGAAAGAAGTAGTTTCTGATATGCTGGAGTGGAAGAAATCCTTAGCGTACCTTCCAGCAGGCAGTGAAAATCGCTGGACGACAACATTTCACATTGCAGCCAGTGCAGGTGATGAAAACATGATAAATGAGTTATTAAAGTACTGCCCTGATTGCTGGGAAATGCTTGACAGCAGAGACCAAAATGCTCTTCATATTGCCATATTCAACAATCAATACATGTTAGTTAATTCCTTATTGAAGTCCACGAAGTGGGATAGCCTTGCTGACGATGCAGATAATGATGGCAACACTCCTCTCCATTTGCTTGCCGCCTCTATTTATTGGGCCCATGTGCCTGTGAAATTAAGAGAAAATCCCAGAGCAAAGAAGATGTCATTTAACAAAGAGAACCAGACTCCGCTTGACGTAGCATTGTCTTGCATAAAGAGGACGACAAACAAGGAAACTATCAGTGACAGCTTGTATCGCGATTTTGCTAACATTGGTCGATTGGGAGGACGTGAGACTCCGGTGAACACACCGGATGAAATTGATCTACAGAGGGAGAATTTGAAGCATGCTAAGGAACGTGAAACAGAAATCAAAGGCATCATGTCGGCAGCTCAAATACATCTAGTTGTGGCCACTCTACTAGTTACAGTCACCTTTGCCGCTGGTTTCACATTGCCAGGAGGTTTTGACGGCGATTCCAATAGCCCTAATAAAGGAATGGCGATTCTAACAAGAAAAGCAGCGTTCCGCGTATTTGTTATTACGGATGTCATTGCCTTTGCATGCTCAGCTGGTGCTATATTCAGCTACTTCATCATGGCAATAAATCATCGACCAACGTCCTATCAGGATTTGAGAATTCTGTGGGCTCTCAGTAGAGTCGCAAGTCTGTTGCAGCTTCTGGCAATGTTAGCAGTGGTAATTGCATTTGTAACTGGTATATATGCGACTTTAGCACATTCACTGGGTCTCGCCATTACTGTATGTACCATCGGTTGCCTCTCTTTTCTTTTGTACATGTTTGTAATGTATGTTGTTGGAAGAGAAGTTGCTTGAGAAATAGAAAGAAACATAAATGCATCAGTATGGCCGAGTAATAGTACTGCAGTCTGCATGCATCGATCAGTATTTGTTTAACAGAGTGTTCAGTTCAGCATCTCTCTTTTTGCTTTAGCTTGCCTTCTCGCATACCATATATATAGATGCATTCGTAAATATGATGTGCAATTTTTGTAGTTAAAAAAAAAACAAAAAGAACTGTCAAATTTATTCAAAATAATTACGAATTCTTTAATATTGTATAGTATTGTATGTTATCTTGGTTTTTGTTTTCATTTATATCTTAAAGTAATAAGACGCCTTACTCTAAAAAGAAATAGCTTAATTACTTTAGTAGTTAACGTGCTTATATGCACGTGAGCTACTCCCTACCATTAGTCTGATTAACTTCTAGTCTGAGTGGAGAAAGCTGTCATTTTCCAGAAACAATATTTGGTAGTTCGGTTACATGTTATGCTAGTTATGTGCGAAAAATATAATGTAGGAATTATTTATGGGGTGAATAGTAATGAATAAATTATTATGGGGTAATTAACAATATGGCTCATCATTAATTATATATATTTATTTTTCTAGCGGACAACTTTTTAAATTTTAAAAACTTTAATCTCCGTATTACTGTTCTTATTGCACATCATATTCCGCAGTAATTTCGCATAACTTAATGAGTATAATCTAATAACCAATCAAACTCATATGGTCCTTCTAACCAAACATTTAAGGGCCGTGTGGTTGGTTTCATGGGAGTATTAAGGGGTGTTCATGGTTCGGTTTGGGTCGGTTTTTCCCGAAAAAGAAACCAAACTAAGTTAGGGGTGTGCATTCGATTTTGACCCTTATCGATAATTACTTATCGATTATCGATTTGTACATATGCTTATCGTTATCGTTTCAATAAGGTTTCGATTTTTTCGATTTCGATTTATCGATTTTGGGGGCTTATCGGTTCGGTTATCGATTACACCAATAAGAAAATTTGCGGGATTCCACGGAAAGTATATCGCTATAAACGCGCCTAACTAATATGGACAAAAAGAAGCTAAAATAAGACGAACACCATTTATAATATAAAAATTGTGTCAACAAGCACATGCAACAAAACTAAAGTAAGGGATCAAATGTATGCCACCAACACTCCAACGGTATAAAAAAACAAAACAAAACAAAACACATCATCACGGCTAATTCTGTTTTCCATTGATTTGAACTTCATTCCCTTGATCTTTAAATATGATCATTCCTTAAATGTGGTAGAGGAAATAATAAGGTAAGGGACTTAGGGTAAAGGAAAGGGTATAGATTAGGGAAAATAATATTGTATAGTCGCTTTCAAAATAGTAGCGGAATATATATATATATTCTGTATGTTATATTAATCTACACAAATAGGTAATTACTCATTTAACAAGTATCTACAGTCTAGGGGTGTGCATTCGATTTATCGATTCGATTTTGACCCTTATCGATTATCGATTTGTACATATGCTTATCGTTATCGTTTCAATAAGGTTTCAATTTTTTCGATTTCGATTTCGATAACAAATAATCGATTCGATTTATCGATAAACCGATTCGAATGCACACCCCTAGGCTTATGGCCGGTGTAGGATTTGATTTCGGGCAAGTATTGTGATCAGGAATGTTATTATAGGCCTATGTGTGGTGTGTATGTTGTGTGGTTGTACTCTGTGGGTGTAGGCATGAGTGGTTGCAGCTACTTGAAACTGATACCGGATATGGATTTAGAATCGGGTCTCTTGGAAATGAAGGGGAGATGAGAATTCTGGCTCTAAGGCTTATTGGTTTTGTTAGAAAGGCTAAATTTCAGTTGAGATGGTGTCGTTAGATTTATGTGGATTGGGGTGACGTGGGATCACTGTAGACGTGTGATTTTTGACCCTCCCCAAGATTTTTCATATTTTAGCATGTAAATATTTAATTTAGGCCTAATAGCGCTATTTCAATTAATTTTGACGCTTTTACTTTATTTTATTACAAGAAAAATGAAAATTACAAAAATTGTTCCATTAATGTTTTGTAGTCATTTTTAATCTTGAAAAATACAAAAAAAAAATAGTTTATTTAACGGTCAGTTTTATTTTAATAGTTATTTACTCAAATAGGATTAATTNGGGAGAAACTTCTCCAGAAATAGCTGGGAAAACTGATCCCAAGTCAAAGCAGGTAACCCAGCTGGTCTAGCCAAACAATAATCCCTCCACCAACTCTTGGCGGATCCAGACAGACGAAAAGCAGCAAAGTCGACCCCATTGGTCTCCACTATCCCCATGTTCCGTAGAACCTCATGACAGCTGTCCAAATAATCCCGGGGATCCTCAGAAGATGTACCGCTAAAAGTGGTAGTAAAAAGCTTGGTGAACCTGTCCAACCTCCATAAGGCATCAACAGACATAGCTGGTCCATCACCGGTCTGGGCTACCACATGGCTGAACTGCTCCAACTGGCTAAGCTGCTGGAGTCTGAAACTGAGGAGCCATCTGCTCCGGAGTGCAAGTAGTGGGAGTCTGTGCTCCTCCCCAGCCTGAGAGACGGCTGGTGCTACAGGAAGTAAGCCTGCTTGGGCGACACTCTCCATAAGGCCCACTAGACGGACCAGAGCATCCTGAAGTACCGGGGTAGCAATGAACCCCTCTGGGACCTGAGCTGGTCCTGCTGGAACTGACTGGACTGGAACCTCAGCGTCAAACTCAACCTGAGGCTCCGACGCTGGTGCTGCTGCTCGAGCTCTGGGCTGAGCTCTACCTCTGCCTCGGGCCCTAGTACGGCCTCAGCCTCTGCCTCTCGTAGGAGCTACTACTGGGGGCTCGGGTTGTTTGTCAGCTGATGAAGCGGTACGTGTTCTCACCATTTGTGAAAGAACAGAGTGGAAGTTCAATTTGCATTGAGAAATCAAGTCGCACGACAGAAAGAATAGATGTGAAGTTTTTCCTAAACTCCGTAGCCTCTGAGGGATAAACACAGACGTCTCTGTACCGATCCCTCAGACTCTACTAAGCTTGTCCATGAATTGTGAGACCTAATCAACCTAGAGCTCTGATACCAACTTGTCACGACCCGGATTTGCCACCCTCGGGAGTCGTGATGGCGCCTACTCGTGAAAGATAGGCAAGCCGAGTGTTACAGATTTTATTATCCTTTTTCCCCAACCCTTTAACAATTACGAGTTAACATAAGATCAACAGCGGAATAAAAATACGGGAGACAAAATTTAATAGTTTAAACTAATGCAAATACGATTCCATAACAATAATCCACCCAGAACTGGTGTCACAATCTCACGGACTATCTAGGAATACTACAAATAGGGTCTGAACAAAGAAAAATACATGTCTGTCTCTGAAATAAGTAAGAACAGAAGGAAATAGGATAGAAGGGGACGCCAAGGCCTGTGGACGTCTGCAGGACTACCTCGGATCTCCGCTGGACTGAAGGCAGCAACCTCACTGTGGTCCAAATGCTCCAGCATCGGGATCTGCACACAGTGCAGAGTGTAGTATCAGCACAACCGACTCTATGTGCTGGTAAGTGTCGAGCCTAACCTCAGTGAAGTAGCGACGAGGCTAGGACAAGACTGCCAAATAAACCTGTGTAGTTAAATCATATACGACAAATAATGATAACAGAAACTAGCAGTTAAAGGTGGGAAAGGGGAACATGCTGCGGGGAATATCAAGTAGTAATAGAATTTCAGTAGAGAAGCATAAAGAACACCATAATTTCATATCAGCAAGAATAAGGGGAAAAAAACAGCAACAAGTGCACGGCATCACCCTTTGTGCTTTTACTCTCGTTCTCACCATAAGAATCAATATTCACTTTTATTCGTTCTTGTTGCGGCATGCAACCCGATCCCAATCATTTAATACTGTTGCGGCGTGCAACCCGATCCCACTCATATAATACTGTTGCGGCGTGCAACCCGATCCCAATCATATAATGATGTTGTGGCATGCAACCCGACCCCACCTGTCCACCCTTATTACTCCTTGTTGCGACGTGCAACCCGATCCCATACAATATTATTGCGGCGTGCAACCCGATCCCAATATACAAATCAACACCAATCACAAAAGAATCCTGGCAAGGGAACAATAGTATAACAACAATATCCCGGCAAGGGAAAACAATTTCATAAACAAGAACATCCCGGCAAGGGAAACAATATCATAAACGATAACATCCCGGCAAGGGAAACAACATCATAAACAATAACATTCCGGCAAGGGAAATAATATTATAAACAATAACATCCTGGCAAGGGAATCAACAATATATCTAATCTCGTTTCCACAATCACTTCACAACATAAATCTCAACTTGAGCCAATGCTCAACAATGGTCAATTACCAAGAATACTTTCATAAGTCTTGTTCAACATTTATAATCCTCATATTAAGCATGGACAATGCATAACGGAGTCACAACAATCATAGAATAAGACTCACGGGCATGCTTGACACCAACGGATAGATACTCGTCACCTCACGTATATGTCGTACTCAACACTTAAAACATAGCAAATAAGACCACAACTCCTATTCCCTCAAGCTAAGGTTAGACCAAACACTTACCTCAATGACACGAACACAATCAAGCCTCAACTACTTCTTTACCTCTTGATTCCACCACCAAGCCGCTTGCATCTAGTCACAATTTACTTAATAACATTAATAAATGCTAAATAAACCAATTCTAATGCATGAAAATAGGTTTCCCAATGTTTTCCCCAAAAAGTCAAAACCCGACCCCGGGTCCGCTTGGTCCATACCCGAAATTCGGACCAAAATCCGACTACCCATTCACCCCCGAGCCCGGATATACAATTGGTTTTGGAATCCGACCTCAATTTGAGGTCTAAATCCCCAAATTTCGATATTCCTAAGTTCTACCCAAAATTCCCAATTCGACCATGAAAACCCTAGATTCTAGGATGAAATCTTGTAAAAAGAAGTTAATGAGTGAAAGAAATGAGTTTAAAATCACTTACTTGTGTTTTGGGGAAGAAAGAGTGTTTGAAAAATCGCCTCTTATATTTTAGGGTTTTGAAAAATGGAAGATGACTGAAAAGTCTCGTTTATATATACCCCCCTCAG